AAGGCCATCAATTAATTAGATGATTCCTTTTAGTTCTAATTCAGTGAAAAATGAAGGTTCTCAATCCAGACATTATAAACCACAAAATAGAAATCTATAATTGAAACAAACATGTCACAGGAGGTGCCACTAGGCAGCATTAGGTGGGGAATTCATCTAACTCAAGTATCTGGAAATGCCTGTCAATGCCCCAGCTGTATTTTGTGAGCTGTGCTGCACTGCCCAGCGCTCCAGGATGCAGCACCTGCCTCTGGGGGGTGTGTGCAGAGCACAGCAACGATCAGCAGGGCTGCAGTGCCATCTGCTGATGCTCCAATTTACTGCCGAAACCAGCAGTGTCTGACTGCAGATCTACAGGGCATTTAGAACACATAAGTACACCTAAAATAGCACTTGGTGGATGGGTTGGGGTTTTTGTTTGCGGAGGAAGCAGAATTTCTGGGTAGGAAATATGCCAAGTATCTTTAGCTCCTTTCTTGTTATCTGATGTCTTTATAAATTAAAACCAAAGTTCCTACATTCCTGCCTTCTTTTGAAAATTGTTTCTAGGCTCCTGTATTTCTTTTTTATATATATACTTTCGATTCTTCTGCTCTGAGATCTTATTGCAGTCCAGGCATGTAAGCAGTTGATAAAGCTTGAGAGACATGGTTCCTTCATTTAGTCAGTAAAAATCCCTTGCTCCAAAGCAAACTGACCCAAGAGCCTATCAGGGTAGCCAGCCTTACCTCCAATACTTCCGTGCATCCAGGGAATGCACATTTCACAGGGAAACCATATGGAGCATCAGCCCCCAGCAGGCTTCTCCAGCCTGCTCCCTTATTTTCAGTGTTTTGCTTCCCATACAAATGTCCCCAAGGGAAAGATATCCCCTGTGGATCTAGAGATGGGCTGTTACCTCTGTGAAGAAGAGAGGCACTGATGCAGCACAGTAATGTGTGCTTCTGCCGCCTGCACAGGTGTGTGCAAGCAGTGAAATCAGCTCACAGGGAAGTGGGATGTGGCCCATGCTGCAGCTGTAGGGCTATGGAGTTAGTGGTGCTGGCTGAGTTTAGGTTGATGCAAATGTGCCAGCCAAGATTAGGGCTTTTGCTGTGTTGTCTCACACCAAATAACTAACTTTCTAGTTTGCTCTTTACTTGCAAAAAAACAACAAAAGGAGGTCTTGAGGTCATTTGCATTTCAGATAGAGTCATGTGTCGGGCTGCTAATTGATTGGAGATAAACTTGTAGGCAAACATTTGCTGTTGTGCTCTGAAAAATAGAGTCAATTTAGACTGGTTTGTTCTCCTGCCAGGATGTGCTTCTGTCCTGTTCCTACACCAAGCTTGGCTATTGACACTCCTGTTTTGTGTCATTATCAGTGCTACCAGTGATTTTAACTGTTCAGGGATGAGTGTTTATGCTTTCTTTCCACCCCTGCTTGTCTGAGTAAAACACAATTCTACTATCTCTCTCTCCATCCTTTTCCTTCCAGAACAAGAAATAACCTAATCCTGTACAGTTATGTATTCTTCTGAATTGGAGCTTATTAGAACACTGGTACTTGTTGAGCATTTCAGTCTCTCCAGATACAAGAACTACACAGAACTGCAAATGAAGTAGTGAAGAGTGGAAGTTCAATAGTGTCTTCCTTTTTCAGGATCTAAATGCAGGGCTGCAGCCAAGCTGTTTTATCATGCCATTACTTTTCTCTCCTTGAGCCTACTGTGACATTGAACCATCCTCAGTGAGAGGAGCTGGTACTTCTTCAGAGCAGTTCAAGACAGATTTTATCAAAAATTCACATAAAGTGTAGAAAAATAATGAGGATGGCCTAAAGCCAAGCTTTGGAGGCACCAAAAGCTTTACCCCTTGCTGTATTTCAGCTGAATTTCCTGGGAAATTTCTTCGCAGTAGTTCCTGCTTAGTACCAATTTCCTGCTCCGCAGAGACCTTGCAAAAACTGTGGAGAGCAGCTTCCCTCTGATCTGACCCAGAAGTTATAGCACACAATTGTGGACCTGATTTTCTGAGTCTGAGAGAGTTTTCAGCCTGTCAGTGAAAATTCCTCTTCCCAAGGGAAGGTCTATTGAGAAAGTTTTTCTCTCAAGTACTATTTTTGTAAATAGTTTATGGTTCTCAAAACAATACTGTACAGCTGTGTTAAGTGTGTTTTCTCTTGTTCCACCAATGGGACTAGGGAGGTCTTGTTCCCTTTACCAATCATGTTAAACCTGTATCGGAACACCTTATAAAAAATAACCAAAAAGTGAAAGTAAAATCCCTTCTAATGATCTTCCTCTGCTGCTGTATTAAATCCACACTTCTTATTTCACGCCCAACAGCGACACACCATTTTTAAAAATCAGCTTTTTGCTAGATAAGTTTGTTTGGTTGAGCTTATGTCAGATCCTAGGCTACTACACCACATGGGACCATGTCCACCTTCTTTTCTGTGTTTCCTTGTTTTTCAGCTCCTTTCATCCTTCAGGCTGTTCATCTTCTCCTTTTTAAATACTTCAAGCTGGTATGTCTCTCCTAGTCCTTCTGAAAACTTTATCTGCTCTATAGTGTGGATGCACCTAAGCTGGCTTGAAATTGCCAGGGCACTGCTGGCCACAGCTTTGCTGCCAAGTGTCAGCCTGGGGGCAGAAGTGCTCAGCTCCTTCAGGAGGTTTCACAGCCCATGCCAAGTTTTGTGTTGTCAGGGTTAAGCTGCTGGCAGGTCTTAGGTGAGTTGAGAGCAAAGAGCAGATGCTGCCATCACTGCAGTGGCATCACTTTACTCTGAGGTTTGTGAGATGATGAGTAGGCACACAAGAAGCTGCCATTTAAACAAAACAGGAAAGTTGTCAAACATGCGGGTAGCTCTCATTATTGGAGTCCCAGATACCCTTTTGCAGATTACTTAAGTTCTTCCTGGTATTCTGCTTCTCAAAGATCCAGTTCTTTGAGTAATAAGGGAAAATAGATAGTACTGATTGAACTGTAGGCTATTCCTTCTTCTGAGTCTTGTCTTCTTATCTCTTATCTCTCGTGTTTGCTATATGTACATGGAAAAAGAACGTGCCCTGAGAGAATGTTCATGGACAGCCACAAAACCTGGCTGCTTCCAGTATATGACAACTTGAAGATTTCAAAAGATGCTGCAGACATCGGACCTAATTTATTGAAAGCATGGCAAGTTTGGTAGTTCTAGCTTTACAATGAAGTGAAATGAGCCACAGCAGTTAAAACTTGGCACAGTTCAGGTGGCAAATTTGTTGCAGAATTGTTTATATTGTCCACATATCCTGACAGGATGAAATCAAAGTCTATGAACAAATTTCATATAATGAAACCATTTATGTATCTGTATGCATTGCATTAAATTATTTTATTTTATTTTATTACTTTCTCAGGGTTAAGAAGGATTCAGATGATTTTCACCAATGAAAGACCTAGTTCAAGGTTTGGAGCAGACTAAATACACACTTGAACATGGCTAACTTGTAAAAGTGATGCACCTGAAAGATTCCCTATAGTAAAATTACTTTGAGCATGTTGTGAATAGTTTATATCACTAAATATAAAAGGAAACACTCCAATGCATCACCTGTGTCTTTGTATGGACAAGATTACCAAAGTTGTGCAGTCATTGTCATTATAGAAAATATTTTATTCTAGTGCAATAACTCTGGCTTTTCTTCATGAATTCAGAAGCCAAACTAAACCCTGGTGCTTAGTTGTGTTTCCTTTGACTGCTGAGCCAAGGATACAGGAAGATTTGCAGTTAATTAAATCTTCTGGCATGGTACATGGGTCCCACAGAGGAGCATTTCATATGGGAGGAGATGCAGCCAGAAAATGGTATAAGCGTGGCTTTCGAGCCAGAAGGACTCCCAGCAATGCTTATGCTGCCCTGGGAATTGAATGGACTTGAAAATAACTGAAAGTCAAGTTCTCCTTTACCTCACCTGCCCCAGTGCAAAGTAGACCTCTGATACAGGCAAAGACTGGACCTTTTGAGAGTAATAGATTTTGCTAAATATTTGTAATTTGAACATCACTAAAAATGTACAAAGATTTGAGAGGGCTAACTTGGCCTGTGCAAAGCAGCTGAGCCATTTGAAAACCTGGCATATACAGTCTTCTACTGACTCTGATGGGAAGGCAACTTGACTCGAGCTCGGAAAGCCTTGTTTCTAGAACTACATATGTGATTTGATATTCAAGTGTGAGTTCCACTGAAATCAGCTGGACAAGATCAGCACTCAAAGCTTTTTAAAATGGGCCAAATTTAAAAGTGTCTTCTGTAACTGACTGACTTCTCTGTGCCTAGGTGAAAACTATTATGTCTGATCTATTAATGTGGAACCAAAGGGAAGTCCCTTCCCCTCAGTAGCAGTCAGGCTGATTAACAATCACAACAGTATTTTACCTTATTATGCCTTGAAATGTAACCCTCCTAGAACTAAATAGATGTGCAATTGTAGGCTAAGTTGAGTTCATTAGTAAGACAGCATAAAACTGCTCAACGTATTGGGTGTTATGAATGTATGTCCTAGCAAACAGAATTCTGCATTAAAATCGGTTGAGTTTCATATCTGTTTCTGGGGAACAGGCTGTTTGTTTGCTTTTTTTTTAATTTTTAACTTCTGCAAATTGTTACACCAGATGGCCTGTTGAGCCAACAATAGATCATCATGTCTCACCACTATGGGATCCCTTTCTGGCTAACTTGAGTCAAAGCAGTTCGATATCAGAACTCACCAAGTACATTCCTAACAACTTCACCTTAATTATTTCTCTCCATCTGGTCCATGATCGTATAAACAATTTCCTGCCTCTTTGCATAACATCAGAAATGCACATAAATAAGCAATCTAATGCTGAATTCTTTTGAATACATTAAATCCCATTTGTGATGTTAGCAGATCCCACGCTTCTATGGGTAAGTGAATATTAATTATGGTAAAGAGTTGGATAATTAACTACTTCTATTTTTAAATTGCACTCTTTGATTTTTAATCCCACAGAGGTCTCAGTCTGCATTCTCCCTGGCTAGTGAAGATTTGACCAGTAAAGGACAAGATCCTGCATCATCTGTGACTGAGGCTCTTCGGAGGCAGCAAAAGGGACAGTCCAGGAAGCAGAAGGAACGCAAGCGCTCTGCTTTACCCAGCTGGAAGAGTGTAGACAGGCTAAATGAAACAAGTAAATATTTCTAGTACGAATAAGATTATTTTTTGGTTCTCACTCACATGTGGAAAAAGTACAACTTGAAGCAAATACTTTCTCAAGGGCGTTTCTGCTGACCTCTGTGCTTTCAGAGGTCACATGTAAAATGTATATTTGATGTTTCCATGTCACAGTTTCATTGGGCTATGTCATTGCTTATCTTAACTTTCTTTTAAAAAAAAATATTCAAAATTTGTATATTTGTGAAGTAAATTTTGTACTGTTACAAAATTTAGACAAGTAGTTTGGATGCATTTCAGAGCTTCTAAGACACAAGAGCTCAAGGAGGCAATCTGTCCTCCAGTTGAAGGACTCCTAACAACTTTATTTTCAGCCCTGATGAATTGACAAATTCTCTGTGCAGCCCTACTCACTGGTGCTTCCAGACTAGTTTGAGGAGGCTGTATGAGTAGGAACTTCACACACCAGCAGTTTCCCCGGATCTGACCTCTATCAGCATGCATTGGGTATGGATGTAAATATGGATGATGGATGGAGAGCAGCTTTCCAAGTCAGCTCCATTCCTGAATCAACACCCTGGGATAGAATGCGATTCCCTGCTTACTTCTAGATGACATTAAGACAGGTTGTAATGGAAGAAGATATCAATGTAAATAAATATCTAAAGGGAGGGTGTCAGAGGCTGGAGCTAGGCTCTGCTCAGTGGTGCCAAACAATATGACAGGAGACAAGAGGCAGAAACTGATGCACAGGAAGCTGCACCTGGATATGAGAAAGAACTTCTTCACTATGCAGGTGACCAAGCGCTGGAACAGGTTGCCCAGAGATGCTGTGGAGTCCCTTTCACTGAAGATATTCAAGAACCTGGATGCAATCCTGTGCCATGTACAGGTTGGTTGGACCAGCTGACCCACTGTGGTCCCTTCCAACCTAGCCCTTTCTGTTCTTCTGCAGTTGTGGCTCCTGCTCTTGGGGTGTCCCATTGCCATTGCCTCTCTTGTTCTGGCTGAAGCATTTGTGAGGCCACAAGAGTGTAGCACCAGGCAACTCCCTTACCATAGAGTTGGTTAGTTTTTACCCCTACAGCTGCACAAGGGCAAGAGCTTAACTCATTGCAGCAGCATTCCCTGGCTCCAAGTGTTGCCATCCCATGACAGAATCTGTTTGTTCTTGCATCTTCTCTTGTAGCAGCTGTAGAACCCATCTGACTCATGTAGCGTATTGGTTCATGAAGCTGTACAGGCAGAAAACTTCTCTTTTGTGGGGTGAGTTTGCTGGTGCTGTAACTCCCACAGCTGCCTCACTAGGTGCTGGCAAGCAGAAGCAGTTTTGGGTTTGGGCAAGCCGTATTTTTGGGTTTCTTAGGGACCAGGGACTGGGACTGTCCATTTGTTCAATTTATTTATCTGTAACGCCAGTTGATAACTGGGGAGACTGAAATTTAGACAATTTCAATACTACTCCTCCCCTGTGAAAGAAATTAATATTAAAGTACTACTAAAATCTGACTTAACCAAGTCTGCATTACTCTGTGAATTTCTTAATTAACCCACTGTCAGGAGTGTTTTTCTCCTGGGCATTTTAGTAGAAGGCCTATTTTCAGTAAAGCAGTTAATTTGGTGCTTAAATTTAAGAACCCACTTGAATCCCATTGCATTCAACTGTTGAGAAATTTAGTATTTAACAATTGCTTAACCATAGCAGACTGACAAATTGACCCAGTTTCTTTCCAGCTGCTCTACAGAGAGGATTTATTCTGCTTCTTTTATCTAAAAACCACATTTGTGATGAAATTCTGGTGCCTATTGAGCTAATAGTAAAAAGCTGATTGTGCTAATATCTGTAAATATGGCCTCACCTATGCAGTAATAAGCAGCTTTGTATTATGATACAGAAAACAAGAGAAATCTCAACCAAGAGTTTTATATGGTAACATCAATGGGCTTTTTAGGCATGTAGCCTAAAAGTAGTTCACAATTCATTGTGGTTACAGTTCATATTGGTTTAAATGGTGACTCAAGAGCCAAATTAGGATACTGTCCTTTTCTTCCCCCTTTATCAGTAGTCTTACAATGAAACCTCTTAAATCTTTTTTTTTTTTCTTTTCATATGGATGAATTACAGCTTAAGCCCCAAGAATTGTGTAAAAAAGTGACTTCATTTTGAAAAATCAGGGAGGGAGCACTTGACATTGTAGGATAAAACTGGGATAAAACTGAGTCAACTTTCTGAATATAGAGTTCTCATTGGCTTTCTACTCTGTTTGTCCTCTAAGATGTAATCAACTACTATCCTGTCCTTTCTTCAGTTAACTGAGGTTGAATAACCAATTCTCACGTGGTGTTGTTAATTAGAATAAGGGGATATGGTCTGGGGGAGTAAAGAAGTTCGTGACTCCCCATTACACAGCTGAATTCCTGTTGGAGATTTATATCCTGCAGAGCTGTTGGCTCTGTTTGAAGGAATGATGTTTTGAGCTCTCAGGAGAACCCTATACTTAGATTAGTTAGTATACTTGGGAAAAGTAAGCAAGCAGAAGTTTCTTATGCTTGATAGTTAGTTTGGTTTTTGTTCTCCAAAATCAGGGATTACAATAAAGAATTATTAGTTCTCCTTGCACACTTCAGTTATATCCTTGGTTGGTCACGGATACAAGACAACTAGTATTATTTTAATTTTCTTTTAAGCAGGAGTAAGAACTGTATTTTCTCAGGTTCTCTGAAGTGACTTGCAACTTAGGAAGCCAAAATAAGCCAAAAGGATTCAAATGAGTAAAGAATGCAAAAATTGTCATAAAACTCTTACAGCTCCTAAGTTTAATTACCATTTAATTTTTGGTTTTTTGGGGGGAGGGGTGTTTTGGTGTTGGTAGTGCACATCAGACTTTTTTTTTTTTTTTTTTAACTAAGCATAGCTTGCTGCATACTAATGTTCTTTATGAACAGTTCCAGGGAAAAAGTAATCTTTTCATCCTTATATTTGTAACCATCTAATTATATTCTACAACAGACCAAGATATTACTGTGTGCATTTAAAAATAGTGATGTTCTGCTTACATTTTGAGAAAACAAATGGTTTATATTAAGTATTTCTATAGGTTTCTGAAAATAACAAATTAAAATCCATGGGAGGAATCCTTAAGTCTGAAAAGTTCATTCAGTAGGCTGGATTACTGTGTAAATCCATGGCATTATATATTTTTCAACTGCTGCAGAAGGCAGTCATCACACATCCATATTTCCCATGAGGAGAATTTTCAGTTTTGATTGGAAATTAAATCTAAATTTAGAAGAAATGCAGTTCTCATAGTTATGAGAGTTAAAGAGAACTTTCTGACCATTTTTGTGACTTTTTTCGTTTTTATGTTGGAGTTGTGAAACATACTCTGAAAGTGTGGAAGGACACAAGCAGCAGTGCTTGTGTCAGAAAGCTCGTTTGGTATTTGGTCTGGGGGACAGCAACAGCAGCCATGAGCAAGAGTCTAGGAGAGATAAGGACAAAGCAAGTATTTTTCATACTGCCTCCAAGTAGGCTCTAAACCTCTTGAACTTTCAATTTAATGACTGTCTCAGCTAGAAGTGTTTTTTCTGTATTTAGTAAATTTTAGTGGATTTCTCCTCAGCATTCACAAGGAGAATCTCAGCTTTATCACAGATAATTTCAAGCATCCAGGACAACCTTAGGCAAGAAGCTCCCTAGGTCTGGTATCCATTGCATCCCACTTCTTTCTTTTGTTTGTTTAGACTCTTGATTTCTCTAGCTTCACTTCATGCCCTCTAGTAGTTAGGTTGGAAGAGATTGCCACATCTCTTTTAGCGTGTATTTTCTCAGTCTTCTGTCCTCCAGATGGCAGAGCTCTGGCTTACTTAATCATTCCTTGAATGGACACCATTTCAGAACCTGGTATAACCTTTGCTGCTCTTCTCTGATTCTTTTTCCATCTTTCCTTTTCAGTGTGGGGGACCAGAACTGCACACAGCATCAAAGACATTTGCAAAACTCAGGACTTATACATGCCTGTGTGCTTATGTTCCATTGGCCTTTCGTAATCATTCTTTTAGAAAAAAACTTTGGTCCAAGTACTCTCCCGTTTTAGTCATCACCATGACTTAAAGTGGTGGGTTCTCAGCAGGAGGGCAGCTTGGCTGTCAGCATGGGGGAGTTCATGTGGCAGCAGCACTTGCATTTGTTTGTTAGTTTTGTTGAAACTTTCAATCTGTGGCAAGTAAAAGCAGCCGTTCACAGTGTGATCACAGTTGTTCTTGTTTCCTTTTCCTAGGTCCGCCTCCTGTTTTCCAAAGCACCGATGGAAACTGGGTGGCTTTGCAGAATGTCGCTCTGCCTCGTCCTCGAATGCTCGCCAAACCAAAGAGTCAGGTGTTCAGAGCTTTGGAGAACGAGTCCAGCATTGTGTCTGCCTATGACGAGATGGGCTCGGACAGTGAGGATGACTATGACTGGAACGTGGCCTTGAACAAGCTGCGGCGGAGACCTCGACAATTGCCAGACGACTTCTATTACTCCAATTCCCAGTATGGCACCGAGTGGGCTTACGGCAATGATCAGTACCAGGCAGTGACCTCCCCCTCCTCTGGGTTATACACCAACACTGAGACGCTGTTCTCCGATTCGGAAACATCTTCAGTAAACTCTTCCCAGGAAGCTAAAGGACCTAGCAAACTTCTCTGGTTGCAAAGCAGAACTCAAAGTGATATGCCCAGAATGGAAAAGAAGCACTTCCATGGAGAACTAGATGTAAATTTCAATCCACAGGCAACTAGCTTGGAGTATTCAGACAGCAGTGAGACTGAAGAAGTCCATTATGATTTAGAAAAGAGATCAAGAAGGTGGAAGAAGAACAAAGCCATCTCTGAAGACTTGTGTGAAGAAAAGAATCAGACAAAAGCCAGCAAGAAGAATTTAAGTCAGGTAATCAAATTATCAAATTATCAAATGTATTCTCAAGAAGAGCTAGGCAAAACGAACTAAGCTATGCTGGCAACATCATGTGAATCATGAGTGGGAGGTGGAGTGTTCTTGCAAGCTTTATCTTCATCATGTCTCCTAAATAAGAAGAAAAAGTAGGGTGTTAGACAGGCTTTACTTTTTTTCTCAGATAGGCCACTTTCATCCAATCAAAGACATTGTTAATGTTATAAAATACTGTGCTCTTAAGAAAAAACCCCTCAGGATTTGTTAACAGCTAAGAAATGTTAATTAATCACTTGTTTTGTTGTGCTGTTGTTTTTTTTTTTTACTTCTGTTTTCTTGGTATAAGAAGTAACTCATTTGCCTGGCAATCTGCTCTTCAGTGTCTACAAATATTCTGGTAAGGGTTAAAGCTAATGAGCAGCAGAAATTTAAAAAGGGCTTTTTGCAAAATCCAGTCCAAGTGATGTCTGTTTTTAATTGATCACCTTAAGGTGAGTTCTGATGTGTTAGGGTGAGTGTTTGCAAACTACTTCCATTTAAATAATTTGTCAATTCATTAAGAAAACAAACAAAACCCAAACAAACAAGCAAAAAACCCAGACTGTAATACCTCAAACAGTTCATACAGTTCTCAAGCTGTTCACACAGCTTGAAGACAGCAAACATTTCTTTTAAATTACAGATAATGGATAACCAGAAGCCAGGAAGTCTCCTCTATTTGGAGTTTGTCCAGACCTGGGACTGATATTGAGGGATCCATTTGTCCCTCAGAATCTTGTTAGCAGTGCAAGCACACAAGCTCAGGAGAATATTGACCCCTTATCCAGTTCCATTTCCCACATCCTACCCCTCTTAAATCCTGAAGCTGCATCATTGCTGCAGCAGAGTAATAGTAAGCCTGAAGCAAGGATCTGAGGGCTGTCTTCTCCTTGTGCCTCTGATTATGGGCCGCCTGATTCAGTTTTAAAGCTATCTGATCAAATTTAGCCTGGAACAGTTCCTCTTTCCTTGTGAAACTAGCCTGTATTTCCTGTAGAAAAACATCAGTACAGCTGATTGTAAGTCAGTATTAGGATTCTAGGATTTCAGCAGGCCTTTAATGCTGGATGTCATTAATTCTTACCCATTCCATCTGCTTTTAGGACAGAGTGTGGGTGTTTGGGGTGTTCTGTACTGATTCATTTATACTCGTGTCCTCATATATTTAAAATCAACAGTTGTTGAAGGGGAGTATGATGTATTATAATGTGATCTGATGACACATCCGTGGCCATTATTGACTTCTTAGAACATCAGGAAGAATTACAGGGCTTTACAGGGACTGCACAAAGACCATATCCTATACACAGACTTTTGCATTTAGCTTTCTGGCTTTGTGTATATGTGCATGATCTCTATGTGTCTGTATTCATACTGTGTCTTTCTAGTCACAATATACATTATGCAGAGCATGGAAGATCAGAGTTCACAGAGAATGTCCTGAAGATATTATAGAATCATTTAGATTGGAAACACTTTTAAGATCATCAAGGCCAGCAGTTAACCCTGCTCTGCAACTAAACGTTGTCCCTAAATGCCAAGACTACACATCTTTTAAATACCTCCAGGTATGGTGAATCAACCATTCCCTGGGCTGCCTGTTCCAGGGCTGGATAATCCTTTCTGTGAAGAAATTTTTGGTAATATCTAATCTAAACAACTCCCATGCTCATCCAGGTGAGGTCAGAAAGGCAGGGTGCTTCCCAAACATCCATGATGGCACCCTTTAGCAACTTAGTGTGTGCTTCAAAGTGCAAGCTGGTATGGAAATTATTCTTCTTTCCAAGTCTTTTGTGAGTTGCTTTGTCTCGTGTAACCTCTCTGTTGTGCTGAAAGTGCGAGATGCAGGATTCTAACCCACTCTCCCCTTCATTTTACCCTTGAGGCTAAAAGAGACTGTTCTTGCTCCCCTGCTCGCTCAGCCTCGAAGGGGCAAGAAGAGGCACACTGCCTCCAGATCATGCCACTGTTTACAAAGCAATTAAATTCTCACTAGGAAGTTTCTGTATGGGTGGGTTTGCCTGTGTTTACTTTGTGTTTGGACATACACGCACACAGGGGTGGCTGATTTGACAGCTGGTTCTCACATTTGTAGAACTTTTACTCCAGCCTCTGGCAAACATGCACTGCTGGCACCAGGAATGGACTGACTACCACAGTTTAGAGCAAGGATGCTGCATGGTTGAACGATTCTAGGAAGCAAGTAAAATTGTCATGTGTATAAGGAATGTTTGAAAATGAATTAGCCAGACATCATTTACATTGCTCAGGAAAATGAGATTAAAGGGATGTCACAGGTTCATATATTCCCCAGAATAATGTATTGATCTTGGTAAAATGATTGAGGCTGCAGCAGGGAGAGCCCTGCATATAAACAGTTCTACAAAATTACAGTGTAGGTGTGTGAAGAACTGCAGACAGCATAGACTTAAGAAAGATTGACTGCAGGTCTTAAACCAGGCATAGCTTTTCACATGATGAGATTATGCAAAGTTTGCAGAGATCATACAAACTCTTCTAAACTTTTGTTGAACCAAGATTTTAGACACTGAATAACTGATTATGTCAACTGCAGTGAAGAAACACACTTTTTCAGTACTTTACTGCATTGGAATATAATCTTATTTTACTGCATTGTAATAATAAAATGATAATTTGTTAACCATTATGTTTTCATCAGCATTGTAGAACAGGATCTCTGTTTATCAGTCTAAAAGCTAGGGTTTCATTTTTAATTTTCAAACAGTGAAGGTTGCTTTGTTTTCTACTGTCCACGTTTCTCAGTGAGATGGAAACAAGCCCTTTTTCTTCTTTGCTCTGAGTCTAGAGAGCTGTAGGCAGTTATGTTCTGGAAAAACTGCAGTCAGTTCATAACTCACAACTGAATTTCAATTTTAAATCAGGTATTTTTAGATAAGGATCCAGTTCCTAGATTAGGATAATGCTGTGGCATGCTTTTTTTTTATTTTTAATATATTTTTAGACACAACAGTGGAATGCCAACTTTGTGGCTGAGAGAGAATTTTTTGTTTAAAGTCTACAGTGACTTAGAAGGGGAAACCTGAGAACAGATACCAAGATGTGCTGTGTATGTGGAATTTTTTGCTTAACGATAAGTAAAAGAACAAGCTTCTTTACTGAGCTGTCTGTAGAGATGCCACAAACACAGTCATGAAGCAAGATATGAAAACTGTCCTGATAAAACCAAAGTCCTGCTATAAATAATATCTGATTGCTTATGTACCACAAAATTCTCATATTTCTGTGGCAACTGAACTGGAAAATGCAACTTTGCTTTTTATGACAATTTTTAAAATGGTAACTTTTTACAAAAAATGGACACTCAAGCCACCAATTGTTATCTGCTCTTATTATTAATAATTATAATAATAGTTGATACTTTTAGTAATGATAATATTGATATATTGGCTCTCATTATCTTTTTGAGAGAAGGATATGATTGTTGCTTAATGTAGCTGAAGTTCTTATGCTTCTGATGCAAAGTGATGGGGCTTAATTGCTTTAAGTGAAAGAAGTGCCCTCATTAAGAGTTTGTTCCTTTGATCAGGAGACCTCATGTGTTAATTACAGCCCTCCTGCCCTGCAGCCAGGTAAGGGGTGAGCACTGTCAGACTGCCTGTTCCCACGGGATGGCGCTTGAGATGTATTCTTTGAAAACAGTTCCCTGAAATCACTCTGGCTCTTGCTGAGAAACTGCCTGCAAACCTTACAATTTGTGTATTCTCCTAAAAACTTCAGTTTCCAATTTTTTGTTTTCTATATGAAGGGAACTTTCTCTCAGGAATTTATAGTTTAGCATGGATTTTGATCTGGAACATCCTTTTTTGTATTTGGTTTTTGTCCACTCTGACTGTGTTATCAGCAATTTGTGTGCAAGGATTTGGACACTGTTTATGAGTAAAAGTATATTTCTTGTTTTCATTGTCTCCTAAAAGACTTATGCTTGCATAGAAACACTTGATTTTCTTTTAGTGAAACTGGGTTTGTGACTGTGTCAGTCTGCCAAGCTCTCACAGAAGCTCAGTTTTCAGATAAAATGGTAGCCTTTTATTCTTGTTTGCAGTTCTTAGCATTATATACTGCTGATAGATGAAAATGGGAATTTACACATTGATTTGTATGATACAAAAATGTCATTAAACTTACCAGAAAGAGTAAAAACATGAACAGTAAAGAATAACAAAATTTAATGCAGCATCTACTAAATAATAATAGTACTTTTCAATTTATTCATTTTATTGTTTTCATGGCTGCTAATGCATTTTTTAACTTGTCAGTCCATGAAAGAGGTATAATCTCCTCACAAATAATTTGCTGCCACTCTCTGAAAAGCCCAACACACAAGTCAAGCAGCCTGCTATTAACAGAGACCACAAAGTGCAGCAGTGTAAGGTACCATTATCTCTGCATGTGTACAGGAATTAACAGCTCTAGCCAATATAGATAATCTGCTCATTTAAAGGAGGTTAGAAAGCTAAAAAAGGAGTAATAGACATACCTGAGCCCAGTTATAATACAGTCAATACTCTCAAGATGAGTCCTCCCTCAAGAAATAATGTGTATTCAAAACACAGATTCAGCTAATGCTGGATGAGACCCTGGGGTTGCCAAGGCATCTCAAGACTTTCATCTGTGCTGGCAGACTTAACAAAAAGATCTTTAAGTTGCTGCCATGTGTGATCCTATGAAGATTGGTATTTTCTCAGGATCAAGAGAAGTTGTCATATTGCTGTTGTCTATACAGATTCTTTAGATTAACCAGTGGTGCTTTCCATGGGTGTGTATGTGCATTGCTGCTCCAATAAAGCTGCTAAGCATCTAAAGTTGAGCAGATCTATTTAAGAAGCCCCCAGAAGACTCACACATGTCCTCCTGCACAGTGAAGTCTGTCAGTACAGCTGTGAGGAGGAAGGGTGGGAAAATCCACCACTCTGGACTGCCAGTCTCCCTCTTTGCTCCCACTAGATTTTATATATGTATCTGTAAGCTCATTAAACAAAAATTGCCAAATTATTATCTTAACAAGCTTGATCTGCTCAAATGTCTGCATAGAATGGGATTTTCTTCTTTCCTTGCAGATTTAACCTCAAGGTAAACTGTGCTCAATCTTCATCAGCACTGCTAGAGTAAGCCCACATCCCTAGGGCAGAGCTGTAATCCTAAACAAAGTGTTTAGGTAGATGAGAGCAGGTTTTTGGAGGTACCAATTAAATAAATGGAGGTAATACAAGTAAAGAGGGGTTCCAGTAATTAGCTTAGACTAGATACCTAGCTGTAAATAGCTCAGGTTTAATGAGCTATATCTTCACTAAACTGTATTCTCATAAAATACAAGTGCACAGTTTAGCTGTGCTTTCTATCCTGTATATCACGTAAGTTATGATCGTTTCTTTCCCGGGTACAAATTGATGGACTGATTGGTTCAGCAACAGGTTTCAGGGATTTTTTAATAGTAGTTTAGTGATTTGTGAGTACTGGTCATTGACAAATTGTTGGTTGGGGTGTAACACTGATATTTGTAATGAGTTGTGGAGTGATGTGCAAGAAATGTCTCAAGAAAACTCTTGCAGTTTGAGGAAAGACCATTATGACAGACATTTTTAATTTAAAAGGTGAAATACACCAGTCTTTTGCATGTATATAAAAGCATGTCATATTATAAAACTGAAGCGAAAACATGCTGGTTTGAAATATTGTTTTTGATCATTGAACAGCTTTTTAGCAGAAAAAGCTCTTTATTCTGCAAAAGCTGATTGTTTGGGAAAAGAATTTCAGCATAAATCCATGGTTGCCCTTCTATTGTAGCTCTCAAGTTTCTGTTGTTCCATCAATCCTGGTTTTCTAAAAGGGTCTTCTGCATCCTGAAGGATGAATATTGCTATAAAGCAATAATTTAGTTGTATAATTGATTGAATTGCAAATAACTGCAGACAGAAATTGTCCAGAACACTGAGAAAGTGCTGAGCACTCCAGTACAGTTTACTGTATGAAAGATGAGAACTGACATTATGAACACCATGTGTCAATCCATTAAAAGCAGTTTGGTGGGTGGGGTTTGTGAGGGAGTGGGCAGTTAACATTTCCTGTGAGAACTGGAGGCAATTGGTTCACCCCTGAGCAGTGCTGCTGCAGCTGCTCCTGTTTATATATTTCCAAATGAATGGAAGAGAGAACACAGATTTTAGTCTCTCCAGCAGTGTCTGGTCTTGTCACAGTATGAGATCCTAAGGCAGATAGGAATAATTTCATCTCTGAGAATTGCTCCAAATCATCCTCCTAGACCTGCTGAGATGTGCCTACCACTCTGGTTCCAGGCTGAATTCTTCATAGCCTCCTTCTGGGTGGTTTTGCACAATTATGCTCCATTTCAAAATATCTGTCACTTTTAAACCCACCTAATACCATCTTATTTCATGGGCTTGGCTGAAGCACCTAACAAGCTAATGATTCAAAACTTTCTCTCAGCAGTCAGCAGAGAAAGAACATTTCCAGAAGGCAGCAAATGCTATAGGTGGAGAAGGTTCCATTGGGAGGTGCCTGTCTCTCCAGGGAATGTAGTGGAAATCAGGTCAAATTGGGTTCTAATCAGACAGAACCAATCCAGAAAATTAATTGATACCTGGGGATTAGTTTTTAGAACAACTATGAGATATTCTCAAATTTTGTCAGCAGGGCTGACAAAACTAACCCCTTTTCCACCTTATTAAATGCTGGGCAAGCACCCTGATTTTGCTTCTCTTCAGCTTCCAATGGGACTTGTGGCCAAGTCTGTAGCACCCACTGTATTTAACTGACCCTTTAAGTGTTTCCCAGCTTTAAGGATCCAAGAGTCAGAATAGAGGGGCTCCTGAAGACTGAATTTGTTCCAAGGAGGTTGGCATTTGGAAAAAAAGTCATCTCTGCAGAGGATCTATCTATGCAAATAATCACTGGGAAAGCTGACAGTCTTAAGCAACATCATGTAACAAAAGAGAAGTTTTTCAGAACTTCTTTCCAGCAGTCTTTAAGAAGAACATGGATAATGCTCAAGACCAAGCAGTCAGGGAATGTGAGCACAGCTTTCAACTGAAAGCTGAACACGACTGCCAGGTTACAGGTTATTTCATTCCCACACTGCATTTTTATCTGCACTGTGCCTGCGAGGGATGGCAGTGCTGGGAATGGGAAATACAGGCATGTTTTTTAGTTGCACACATATACACAGTCATTTAGATAGTTCCT